CCAGCAGAGAATGAGGAGAAAAGAATCTAGTACTAGCGGACCGCTCTACACTTCACAGAGACACCCAGAGGTGTTAGAAATGGTTTGCAAGACACAGCATTAAGAACTGAGGGCTATAACGGCCAAAAAAAAAATTATACAGTCTTACCCTAGAGTTCAGGTTCTTCAAAAGATTGTGTGCTTGTCTGTGTGGAACTTGTGGGTTTCTCCCTTCATAAAGGATAATAATGGTGGACAAGTAGAGGTCTCTCCTCATCCCCTGAAGATACAGTAGTCAGCTGGCAGACTGGAGAGAAGGCAGGTTTTCCTACAGGATAAAGTCCAAACTACACATCCTGGCTTTCAAAGGAATCCACTACACTCACTCGGGGTCCCAGCCAGGTAACTTCGCTTACAGGATTTGCTACCAGCTTAGCGGCTGTGTCTTTAGGTACAAAGGCTGGCACAAGTAACTAGGTGATTAGCAGCCACAGAATTATAACAAAGACCCAAGAGAGGAAAAATCATGCCTGGTATTCTTCCTGGGAGTCAAATAGTCTGATAGTGCATATTTTAAAGGAGGCAATGTGATTATCCATAAGCTAAGGAGTTAAGAGACATCATTTTCAATTCAATCACCATGTGTTAAGCAGCTACTATTTGTGTTGAGGATGAAAAAAAATTATATCAATCCTATCACCAGGAAACTAGCAATTTAATAGAGAGCTTTGGTTTTGCTAGACCAGAAGCTCTGCTATTTATTAGTGCTTTAACCTTAGGCAAATTACTTGCCAAACCTCTCAGATCTTCAGTTTCCTGGTGTTTTGATTTTTGTCTTGCCCGTGGACTTCAATGACTCTAGAGGAGAAAGTAAGGCTGATGACTCTGCTGCAGTTCTGCCTCACTTAAATCCAATTCACCAGCAAGTCAAGACATCACTTTTGTGATGTCATTGGTCCTCTTTGAGAACAAAGGATGAAAAACAACAATGTGAAATATGAATAAAAATGCCCACTTGTTATTGTATCAAATTAGATAAAAGGCCTGAAAGTTCTTTATAAACTGTTAAGTAAAATAAAAATATGAAATATTATTATAATTAATCTTACAATTTGTTTTTGTTATCTCTCCCTTACATTTTAATTCTAAAATTAAAGGGTTAGGGTGAGATGACATGAAATTATTCAGACATCTGGATCCTGGCCCCTCACCAAATCATGACTATTTTAATTGAACCCCATATTCTTAAAAAAGTATTATTTCCCAAAGAACAGGAAGCATAGAAGATGTCCATCAACGGAAGAATGGCCAAACAAATCACAGTACATGAATGTTAGGGTATATTACTAAGCCAAGAAAAAAAAGCCTGAAAAAAAAATGAAGATTTCAGAAAAACCTGGGAAGACCTATATGAACTGATTCAAAGTCAAGTGAGCAGAACCAGAAGAACATCACTACACAGAAACAGCAATATTGTAAGGATGATCAACTGTGAAAGACTTAGCTAACCTGATCAAGACAATAATCTAAGACAATTCCAAAGGACCCATGTTGAAAGATGCTATCCACCACCAGAGAGCGAACTAATGAACTCTAAGTACAGATTGAAACATATTTTTTTACTTCATTTTTCTTGGAGTTTTTGTATATTTTCTTTTGCAACATGGCTAATATGGAAGTATGTTTTGCATGATTCACATGTATAATTGAGATCATATTGCTGGTCTTCTCAAGGGGTGGAAGAAGAACAGAAGGGAGAAAATTTAAAACTCAAAATTTTTAAGAGTGAATGTTTAAAAATTTTTACGTGTAATTGGAAAATACTTAACAAAAAAATAAAAATATATATTTCTAAAAATTCAGAAAAGCACCAGGAAACTTCTATGAACTGAGTAAGGTAATCAGAACCAGGAAAACAAAATACACAATGACTATGACAATGTAAATGGAAGAATAAAAAGTAAGAGAGAAAAGAAAAGAAAAAGATTAAATGCTGAGTAATCATAGGGACAAAACTTGTCCCCACAAAAGAGATGAGAAAAGTATCTTGTTCCCTTTTTTTTTCAGAAGTGGGAGGTTATGTGTGTGGAACACTAGATATGCCATCAAATTCTATTAATATATTGGTTAGTTTTTTCTAAACTGTTTCTTTTTTTCTCTCTTTTATTGTTTGTTACCAAAAAAATTGCTTGCTAAGAAAAGGAGAGAGAAGGATGAATTTAAAAATAAAAGTGAAGTAAAAATAAAAGATAGAAAGAAAATTTTAAAAAAAGAAAAGTACAATTTCTAGGGAAAGACTAAGAAAGTGAAGATTTCAATAGGTATTTGTGTATATGTGAGAAAGAAACAAAGGAGAATCAGTCATTCAGTCAACAAACATTTATTAAGTGTTTACTAGTGGGAGGCACTGTGCTAAGCACTTTGGTTACAAATAGAAGCAGAGGACAGTCCCTGTGCTCTAAGATATTATGATTCTTAATGGGAGAAGATGAAGTTGAATTGTGGCAGGGTCAGCAAAGAGGGACTATGAGAAGGATGCAGAAGTGAAGGGTCTTTAGGATACTGTAGCATGTGGCTGAAAGCAGCTTCCAAGGTGAGAAATACATTTGGTCCAAGAAAAAAAAAAAGGAACAGGGTGGAGCTTCAGGATTGGAAATATACTAGGGGGTCTGGGGAAGGAAGACAAAGCCTACTCTCTCTCCCCTCCTTGTACCTCAGACATTCATTTATCCATTCAACAAACAAGTATGGAGCCCCTGTTGTGTATTGATAACTATACTAGTGACTGGGGGAAATACAGTCTCCAATGAAGGAAAAAAAAAGTCTATTTTTACATAGAGCCTTAATATTTACAAAGTACTTTGTCCTGGTTCCTTCTATGAAGACTTCTATTTGGGAAAAAAAAGTGAATTTTCTTCAAATCATAGTAACATGATAATAATAAATAACAAAAAGAAGGAAAAGGGGGTAAAAAGAATTAAGTTCTGGGCAATGGGAAGGAAATCGTGAGGCAGGCTGAATCCTCAGACTTACTCTCTATAGGGCAATCTCTTCTTTTAGGAGACCTTCAGCTCTTCCTTTCTCATCCTCCCCCTCATTTATAATCTGGATATGAAAGTTAACTCTAGCTGCCTCCTGAGATCCTGGAGTTCCCCAGTCAATGAGCTCCCTTCCCTCCACCTTTGATCTAATCACTGGGTTAGCATTAGAGATGAGTTAAAGTTAAAGTCAAGTTGTCACTAAACAAAGGGTAAGGAGAACCCAACAAAACCAGGGAAAGACTCAAAGAAAACAGCTGTGCAGAGTTAGGTTGTACAGTTAGTGTTCCAAAGGCTAACCATAAGATTTCCCCTAATTAGCCTTAGTCATTTTCTCTCTCCCCTGAGTATTTCTTTTCTTCCCCTGCCATTTAAAAACTTGGCAAAGCATGTTTTAAACTCCCCTCTTCCCTCTTTTAACCCCCGTCTCCCTGCACCCCCATCAACCTCTTTACCACTGGAAAAACTGTGTGTGAAATGATTTTACGTATATTATTCTGTTTTATCCTCAAAGGATACTATGAGGTAAGCAAGGCATATACTATTATCCTAATTTTGCCTATGAAAAAACAGGGCCCAGAGAGGCCACTAATTTGTCTAAGGTCACATAGCTAGTAGAGACTAGTACCAAGGACTTTGGGAATTTACATAGCACTTTAAGTTTGCAAAACATTATGTATGTATGTATGTGTGTGAATATTAATTTATTTAATCTCAGCAACATTCTGTGAAGTAGAAGCTATTATTTTCCCTATTTTACATATGGGGAAGGTGAGGTTAAATGATTTACCCAGGGTCTCATAACTATTATGTATCTGAGGCAGGATTTGAACTCAGGCCTTCGTGACTTCTGGTCCAGTGCTGTCAGGCAGCTAAGTAGCACAGTGGACAGAGCACTGGGCTTGGAGACAGGAAGATTTAAATTCAAATCTGACCTCAGCTATATGATCCTGGGCAAGTCTGCTTCAGTTTGCCCATCTGTAAAATGGGGGTAATAATAGCACCTACCTCCCATGATGGTCCTGAAGATAAAATGAGATATTTGGGAAGCATTTTCTAAACCTTAAAGCACTATATAAACGCAAGCTAGCTAGTAGTAGTACCTTTATTGGATGGAACCCACCACAACTGTAAGTCCCAAGATTGCAATGCCTTATTCGTTGTTAAATCCCTTAATCTTCACTACTTAGCTACTTTTAGGTCAAAGGACTTTCCTATAGACTCCAGTAGGTAGAAAACTAAGTCTAGTCTCAATTTAGGACCAAATCCCTGTAGGAAAGCTATTTATTCAGATGTGGAATTATGAAGTGGAATAGAAATAAACTGTTAACTCACATGGGGAATTTATGTAGTAGAATATCAATAGATTGTAAGCTCCTGGAGGGCAAGGCCTGTCCTGCTTTTGTATTTATGTCCCCAGTGCCCTAGTATACAGTAGGCACTTAATGATGATTGATTTGTTGGTACAAGAAATGTTTTTCTTAAATTTCTCTCAAAATCTAAGGAGAAAAACACAACTAAATACTATACTTTCTCTGTAAACACTTTTAGTTTTTTATTTTTGAAAAATCTATGTTTTATAAAGATGTACATTTTTCTGGATTATCAAAAAAATCTATTCCTTATAAAAACTTTCGCATTTTCTGGGTTGTCATTTTCTTCTCTGTGAAGGACATCCTCTGATAACTTACATAAATGAATGCCGTCACTACTTCTCTACAAAGGGAATAAATTGTCATAGACAATAATTAAGCAATTATGCAAAACAAGACCTACTCACTATTCCAAAGGAAGAGAGTAATATATTGTGCTACTCTATGTCAATTATAATGAAGAAAAACACTTTTTTCAAGTTGTACATGGAAATTGACACATTAATCATCTTGTATATTCTAGTAGTTTCCCAGGGAGATGGTGCGCTCCATCAGCTTTCCTCTCATTGGTTACCAGTCTCTATTTCCCAACTCTCTCTTTTGCTGACAGGTAAGAAATGATCTCACTGGTGTCCTGTACGGTGAAGGTATTGAAATTTCAGACACAGCAAGCTTCTCGAATGATCCCTGCAATAGTGTGAAAAAACTTAAGGTATGTGAAGCTGCTTTACCTCTGACTAAACAGATAATCATGATTTCTATGAATCACATTCATAATCAGTCAGGTGATTGTGATCAAAATTATATTTTCTTTAATTTCACCACAGAATAAATTATAGATTTATTTATCTAGATCATGATAGTGATGATGACGATATTTACATTTGAATAATGCTTTGTGGTATATAAAGTGCTTTTACATGTATCATTCTATTTGACCCTTACAAGGACACCATGGGGTAGGCAGAGCAAGTTTTATCATCCTTATTTTACAGATGGAGCAAGCCCAGAAAAGTAAAGTAATTTATCCAAGGTCACATAGTTAGCAGACAGTAGTTCTCAGGTCTTCTGATTCCTAATAATAGTAGGTCATGTTTCTATAACACTTAAAGCTTCACAAAGTACTTTCTAAAAAACATTCCTGCAAAGTTGGTAGTGTGAGTAGTGTTATCTGCTTGTTATCTATTGTATAGATACCTATACAATATCTATACACAATATAGTATATCTATATACTGTATATCTATATAGATGTATATCTAGATGTATATAGATGTATATCTATATACAATATATAATAATACAATACAATGTTATCTATTGTATAGATACCTATTGTATAGATGTCTAATAGTTATCTATTGTATAGATAAGGAAATTTAGTGTCAAAGAAAAGGGACTTCTCCCCCCCCACCACCAATCCATTGATTGGAAGTGTTAGAGCTGCGATTCAAACCCAGATCTCCTAAATTTAAGTCCCACACCAGTGTTGTCAAATAGAAACAGATTCCTGAGGGCTTCATATTGACCTAAAAAAGAAAAAAAATAACATTAACTATGTTGTATTTTCATTTTCTTATTGTATTTCTATTTTTTATTTTGTTAAACATTGTTAAACATTTGTTATACATTTCCCAATTACATTTTAATCTGGTTCTGGCCCCAATGGGGAGTTTTGCTGGCTGTGAGTCTGACACTCCACACTTTCTGTATTCTGAGTGACCATTCCATTCTGTCAATCAATCTATCTATCAATAAACATTTATTAAGCACCTATTATGTGCCAGGCACTGATAAGTGCTGAGGATACAAAAAAGAGGTAAAAGACTGTCCCTGCACTCAAAGGAGCTTGCAATCTAATATGGGAAACAACATGCAAACAAATATATACAAAGCAAACAGGCACTAGAATTAAGAAGGGTAGGGGAAGGTTTCCTGTAAAAGGTGAGATTTTAGTTGGAAGCCAGGTAGGTCAGTAGTTGGAGCAGGGAGGGAGAGCTTCCCAGGCATGGGGGACAGCCAGAGACAATGTTCTAAGAAGAGAAATGGAGTGTCTTGTTGGTAGAACAGGAGGCCAGTATCACTGGATAGAAGAGTACATGTTGGGGAGTAAGGTGTAAGAATACTGGAAAGGTAGGAGGGGGCTGGGTTATTAAGGGCTTTGAATGACAAGCAGAGAATTTTGTATTTGATCCTGGAAGCAATTGGATGCCTAGAGTTTACTGAATGTGGGTAGGTTGGAGGGTGCAACACAATACCTACATTTTAGGAAAATCACTTTAGTGGCTGAATGGAGGATATATTGGAGTGGGGAGAGACTTGAGGTAGGCAGATCCACCAGCAGGCAGATACAATAATGAAGACATGAGATGATAAGGTCCTGCACTAGAGTGGTGGCAGTATTAGAGGAGAGAAGGGGATGTACTGGAGAGATGTTGCAAAGGTGAAATCAACAGATGCTGGCAACAGCTTGGAAATGGAGGGTGAGTGATAGTGAGAAGTCCGGGATGATTCCAGGTTGTCAGCCTGAGGGACTGGGGGGGTTGATGTTGCCCTCTACAGTAGTAGGGAAGGTTGGGGTGGAAGGGAGTAGGAGGCAATGTTAGGGAGAAAGATAATGAGTTTCATTTTAGACATACTGAGTTTAAGATTAAGTTTAAGTGCTTTACAAATATTATCTCAGGTGATTCTCATAACAACCTTGGGACGTAAGTCACACAGCTAGTCGGTATCTGAGGTTGGATTTTAACTCAGGTCTTCCTAACACCAGGCCAGTGCCCCATTCACTAGTTAGTAAAAAGGAAGCGGTTTGATAGGGTCTTAGATTCAGAGGTAGAAAGGACCTCAGAGGCCTTACATGTTGGATTTAAGATGCCAATGGGATGTTACTGTAGAGAGGTCTGACAGGCAGTTGGAATATCAGCATTGGACTTCAAAAGAGTGACCAGAGCTAGAGATGGATTTTTGAGAATCCCCCACACAGACATGAAAAACTCAAACTATGGAACAAGATGAGAAGTTGCCACTTGTAATAACAATAATTTATAGGGTTCTTCTTTTGTTTCATCATCAACAAACTGTTGGCTCTAAATTGAGCATTTCCGGTCCAGTAACTCAGACTGGTCTTTTTACGTCTCTCACCCACCTATTCCTCTGCACTTAGAAATTATAAATTTTCTCTCAGGGTTTCACTCTCTCCCTCCCCACCACACATTGGTGTCCCATATCATTTCTTCCTCTGTCCTGACAGTAATGTAATCACACATACACAGACACACACACACACACACACACACACACACACACACACATGTTCTTCCACCTTCTCTTCAGCCCCCAGCACTATCCCCAATGTTCAGTTCACTCGGAGACTCATGGTTTGAGTTCCATAATGAGTTCTGCTGAATGAGGGCCTTCAGGCCTGGAGAAGGGCATCTCCAACTCTGCAAAGAACATACTGGGAGGTGGGGGGGGGCAGCAGAGAGAGGAAGGCAGGGATGGTGCTGCTAATACCACCTCCCTACAGCATGCTGTGGCTTGCTCCAGGATTGGTTCTTTAAAGAGCTTCCTGCACCACTGGGGCCTGAGCAGACATCTGGGAGATTTAATTTTTAAAGAGTCTCAGTGTGAAATAGGGCCAAGACCCTTTAAACTCCCCTCCATTTCACACTGAGGCTTGTAAAACTTTAAATGTCTCAGGGCCAGATCCAAGGTTTCCTGCTTCCTCCTATGAACCTGTTTAAAGGATACACTCCCAAGCAGGTAGAAGCTATTATATTCCTTCCAGACCTTGGGCCTAGCACTGAAGAAGATTCAAAGGTACATAAAAATCAGCCCCCGTCCTCAGGTACTACACACAATCTAGTATGAAGAACATGAGTAAGAATTCAGAGGACCTGCCAATAACTCCCCATGAGACCTTAAAACAAATACTCTATGGGCCCCAGTTTCCTCATCTATAAAATGAGCGGGTTAGACATGATAACTTTGGAGGTTCCTTCTAGCTCTAAAAGCTGGCATTTATATAGCACTTTAACATTTGCCAAGCACTTTGTAAGTGTTATTTTAGCCTCATGACAATCTTGAGAGACAGGTCCTATTGTTATCCCCATTTTACAGTTGAGAAAAACTGAGGCAGAAAGAGCGTCAGTGATTTGCCCAGAGCCACAGAGCTAGTAACTATATGAGGCAGGATTTGAACTCAGGTCTTACTGATTCAAAGTCCAGCATTCTATGCACCACCTCACCTTGAAAGAGATTGCCAAAGCAGATTTGGCAGGCCTTGGCCTTAGTTGGATATTGAGGTTGAAAGAGGAGGGGAAAGTGACTCTGAGGGTACCAGAAAAAGAGAATAGTGGTTTAGTTTCAGACATGTAGAGCCTGAAGTGCTAATGGGACACCTAAGTGAAAATATCTACTATGCAGTTGAAAATATAAGACCTGAGGCTAGTATCATTGTCATCCCCATTTTACTGATTAGAAAACTGAAGCACAGAGAAATTATAAATTCATTACCCTGAGAGATAGAATGCTCTATAAATATAGGGGTTTTTTTTAAAGACCAATTCATGGACTGCAGGGCCAAAATGGGTTTCCAAGGGAAACAAGGACTGTGGTAAAACTCTAAACTCGAAAGCTAATATTTAAGGGGCATAAGCATGGCCTTCCACAATATGTCCCCGAGTGCTACTGTCAGAGGGAGAATGAATGCCAGGGTAGACAGACTATGGTTATTTTTCCTCATAAACATTTTATAAGCATTTTAAGGTTTGCAAAGCGCCTACCTCACTACAGCCCTGCAAGGTAGGTGGTATTATCTCCAATTTATAGGTGAGAAAATGGGAGTTCAGAGAAATGAAGTAATTTGTCCACAGTCACATACCAAGACAGTGGGAGAGCTAGGACTAAAACTCAGATATTCAATATTATTCGAGAAACATTTATTAAAAGCAGTCTATGCTTCTGGCACTGTCCTAGGTGCTGAAGATACCGATTAAAAACTGAGAGTACAGACTTCTCTTCTATCAATGGACTTATCTTCTAGTGGAGGAAGCCACATGTGTACCAATAAGTAAATCAAGAAGTAATTTCCAGGGAAGAGGGAGATCAGGAAAGGCAGAGGAGAAGAAAGAGAGCAAGCATTCCAGGTATAAGGGACAGACTGGGCAAAGGCACTGAAATGGGAAGGAATAGGAACAAGCATTTATTAAGCACCTACTGTGTCCCAGGCACTGTGCTAAGGGCATTACAAATATTATCTCATTTGATCTTCCCAACAACCCTGGGAGGTAGGTGCTATTATTATCCCCATTTTACAGTAAAGGTTAAGGGACTTGCCCAGGCTTACATAGCTAGGAAGTATCTGAAGCCAGATTTGAACTCAGACCCAGAACATTGTGCCACCTCGATGGGAGTTGGAAATAGTGAATAAGCCAGATGAGTGGAATGTAGAGTGTAGAAGAGAGAGGAGAGAACTAGGGTTGGACCTCTGATATCAATAGTTTTGAGAATTCCTGGGTGAGGAAACACCTGGTACCAGCGCAGGTCAGCACCTTCTCTCCAACTAACAGGCCTATAGAGTGGCCTAGAGCAGAGGTGCCAAACCAGGGCCCCATTTACAGCCCCATTTACAGCAACACTCCATTCCCAAGCACTGCTGAACCAGATTAAAATGCAGTTAGGAAATGCTGAACAAAATAAATAAAAATACAA